TTTTTTTACTTTTTTTTTTATGACAATAAAATAAAAAAAATCCATAAAATTCGAGTGTCGCGAGTTAGACATTTACTAGACATCTACCCCTCGTTATCCCCGTCATCTCGAAAGACACGATATGTCGATCACGCACCCCCTTCACCCCCTCAAAAAAAAAAAATCTTCATATACTACAAAAATAAAAAAACGCGTCACTAAAACTGAGTTTGAATTTCCCCGAGAATATTTTATTCGTTACAGTTTGGTCGTACATTTTTTACCCCGCCGCCACCCCCACCCACCGACCTATAATTGATTCAATCGGCGAAAAACACGAGTCCTTTTTCCCCTTCTCCCTTCACCCCCATCCCCCGTTTTAGGTTTGTCGTTTTTTGGGGGGAGTTGAGGCCGCTGACGCCCCCTGAAGCTAACCGCTGTAACGAGACGCCAACCCTCCACACCCCCCAAGCCACCCCTCACCCTTTTTCTCTTTCTCCTTTATATATCAGGTCTTTGTCTCTTTTTCACCCCCCGCAGGGAGCGATATAATATGGAAACATTTGTACACAGAAAGTGGAGGCTGAAATGTTGTGGTCCACGGGTGGTGGAGAAATTGCTCACCCCTCGGTGATGGGGGGATGACTGGGGGGGTGGGAGGGGTGGATTGGGATGGAGGGGTGGCAGGGAGATGGGGGGTGGAGGACTATAGTCCGTGCGAATGCGTTTATTATTTTAATTAGAGCCTTCCAGTGATGAAAAGAGAAGTGAGGCGGATTCATGCTGAGGGATATCCATTCGCGCTGATGCCCCGGGCGAATGAGAAATTTTGAATTATACGCGGGAATAGGGGCAACAACTGATAAAGAGATTGTTCAAGAGATTTTTTCTATCGTGGTTGGATATTTTTTAGAAAAACGTAACGCCAGTCGTCAAACGATTTCTGGGAGAGAGACGACTTTGTAATCTCGCGCCATTTTAGGTGGACCAATAAGGAATCGTGGCTTCATAATCTCGAGATATTCGAGATAATCGATTGTGTTAAGCGTGTTCCTTTTAGGATAGGATAAAATAGGATTCTGGAAGTTGCAGGAATTTTTTTGAATTTTTTTCTTTAGGTTATTTATCGTATTTGTTAATTATTTAATTCTCCATTTTTTTTTTCGTTGCATTTTTGTTTTTTTTTTATATTTCAATGGTCTGGGGGAATTTTCTGTGGAGTCTCTTTTTATAAATATTATTTGCAGAGGAAAATGGGGGGAGAGCCTTTTAGAAAAATGTCGGAATGTATTTCCCCAATTTTTCAAATTGCTTTATTTTCCTAGGAGGGAAAAAAATTTCGAAAAAAGCGGTCGGTGATAAAATATTTCTCGGTTTCTTTCCCTTCGCTGAAAACTCCAGGGAACATTTCAGCTCAATGTGGCGATGAAAAAAAGGGTTGGAGTATCATAAAAATTGTTTCGTTCCCATTCCCACCATATTGTCAACATGGCGAAAAAACGGAATAAAAAAATATGATTTCACGTGATTTCTCGGAATGTCAGATGATTTGAGGACTGATTTCATCAATGAATCCCCCTCGATGTCCCCATAAAAATATCCGCCATTTTTACTATGCGAGATGCCCTCGGGCTAGAAAAAAAACGGAGCAAAACTCCGAAAAAAATGTCCTCCCAGCATGCTAATTCTAAAAGGCCCCCAAAACGGGCCCAATTTTTTTCCGTTAGTCCGGTCTAAGCAAAAAATTCAGGCAACTGTTTTTGCAGCGGTCCAACCCCTCGGTCCACTCCTTTCCCGTTAAAAAATAACAACTGGAAAATTTACAATTTCAAAAAAAAAAAAATCCTACCACTCCAAGGAGAAAAAAAAATGGGGCAAAAAGAGGACTGAAAAAAAAGCGGTGAAAATTCCTGTTCAAGTTGTTTTCCGTTATGCAAAAAAGTTTACAATGGACGCTCTGAAAAATGCCCCCAATGGTGGAAAATAAAACCATAAAAATACCCGTTAAAATTTCAAAAAGGCCCTTTTGCTTTTACCACTT